AGAATACAAACTTTAAATAGTCAGATGTGCTTTAAAGAATGTTGTTGCTCTGGTAACCAAATTGGCCACTTCCCCCAGCTAGCAATGATTCGACTTGTTGTGTAACTTCGATATTATTAAACAAATCAACAGGTCATTCCCTCTAAGAAGTTTTCAAGTCATGTATGCCAGCTTTTGATGGTTCCCTGAAGGAAAGCTACGTGATTAAAAATCCACTTCATTGGATTAGTCTTGTATTTTAATAGAAGGCATTCTTACACAATACATAATATGTTTAACAAATGGATTATTTAAATGCAGATGACATTTGGCATGTTGTCTATATTATTTTCATGAATAATGAATTGGAGCTCTGCCTTGCACTTAAAGGATCAGCCCAATGCACAGCCCAAGGAAAGTTGAATGCTGATTTATGAGCACCGTTTTTGTTTTCCTACAGTTCATGAGGAGGTGTAATAGGGTGTCTGACAAAGCATAGACAGGAAATGAACCCTGGCATCAAAACCTAACCTGTTACATCTGCACTTAATTAATTTTTGCAGGTGATAAAAGATTTAAAGACAAAATATGTTAAAGGGTTTTTGAAGTGCAGGGCTTAATAGTCTAAATCTTGTTCATATCTGCACTCATAATTAAATCTTATTGTGAAGTCATGGCCTTACCATCTAGCACTTTTGTTCAGTTAAACATGCGTACTGGCTGTTGAAGAGAAGCAGAGAAAGAGGGAGTGTGGGAGAAGGAATGGCAAGTGAAAAATGAGTGGTAGAATAAGTATATGTGTAGGTTAGATATTCTCAGAATGTTTTTCAAATATTTCTGAGAGTGTTCTACTATCTCTTAGGAACATAATTATAAACTACAAGAAACCAGTATTTTTGAAAAATTCACTTCCACTGTATGTTGTACCTGTTTGCTGACTTGAATCTTACAGTTCATTGAGTTTTACTGCTGTAAATGCTGGCCAAAAGTGAACTCTATGTTTATTCTTGTTTTTTAGTAAGAAAAGCCTATTCAAAGTTTGCATTTTGTGAATGTTTTTAAGTCTTTTTGACTGTAAGTGTTACATTCACCTTGTGGGGAAAAGAAATCACTTCCATTTGACCTACTCAGCCAATAAGCACTTAGGAATTCAGCTTCAATTTCGCAAGGCAAGGTTAAATGTGCAAATCATTACCTGTGCAAATGATTACCCGTGAAGCTGCCTATCCTTACCCAGGAAAGTAGATAGGGAATGCTCAGCCTCTCTCTGACTCTATCCCATTGGCCAGAATAACTCAGCTGGTGAAAAGGGAGAAATATATGGCTGATACAGATTACTTCATTCCTGGAGCAGTTGCAGTCCAGTCCCAAGCCTGCTTCATGGTCAGTGCAATGATGTCCAAAAATTCATACGGAAAATTTCTTATGTGTGCGAACTATGGATAAATCACAATCCAAACAGAAAGAATGAACAAGTTAATAGTGATGTCTTTATGTCCATCAACAGGGAGTTTTGGGCATCTGAAGGAAAGAATGGAATTACAGATGTTAGACTTGAAATTAACCTTTAAGGCTATATTTTGATAGTGACTAGCACAGCAGGACCCCATGCTAGTTGGCAGCTATACATCTTACTACAATGTAAATGTTAATAAGTAATATTAAACCCCACACATTAAACTGTACTCTAGTTACAAATTAAGTGTAGTCTTCATAGCTGCTACATGCATTCATATATAACTCTTAACTTCTTAATTTTTAATCTTTCCTTTATTTTTTTCTACACTAAAATAAAAGACCCCTCTGTCAGCTTTTCTTTCCTCATTCCACCATTTGAATAAATCTCCATTTTTGAACTGACTTATATACCCTGAATACTTTTGATCTACTAAGGGTAGAATATGAACACATTTCCCACATGGTAACATCCGCAGTCTTAAACAACACATTCCTTTGTCTAACCAGAGAAGTCACTGCTCTTCAAAACAGAGTAACCCTTGGTGGAATTGACGTTTAGACAAGAAAACTAGCTTTGAGATTTGAATAATCAAAAAAAAGAGCTCTGTATGCCCATTTAATATTTTTTCTTCTCATTTGAAAAATGTTACAGCAATAATATATGTAAAGCCCCAAACATGCATGGAAAAGAAAGACTAATTAAAATCACAAAATGAAGACCTATTATGTTTTTAGTCATAGTCTCTGCATATCTATCTATATGGCCAACATAGATTTTCAGGTTGTTGTTGCAAGCCTTGTTCCATCCATACTTGCATGTATGTTAGCATGATCTGCATCTGCTTTGGAATAAACCAATTAATTCTGTCTCAGCTGAAGACTGGATGGGATTCTGGGGTTAGTCTGCATGCCAGGTTTTACTTCATTTGCCAGTCAGAGCCCTCTAACACTATGCTGGCTGCCTTCAAATCTCCAACACCCTCACACCAGTGTATGCTCCCTTGCACCTTCAACACGTGTTACATTTAACCTTGGCATTAAGTCACAGTTGGACTACAACTTCATCCTCATGTTGTTTCAAGAACTTTCAACTGGGAAAATAAAAGTAACCATTATAATATTACCCCACAGGGGTCCCAGAGGAGGTCCAAGTCAAGCACAATGCAGTACAAGTAAGACTCAATCAATGTAGAGAGTCCTCAACAATGTGGGTGAAAGTCATGGTCTACATGAGCTGGCAAAGAGCGCAAGCAATGCGCAGTGCTTGCTGTGCCATTGGCAATGTACACCTAACTTGAACCTTCTAGTCTAGGCTTCCTGAGGAAAATGTGACCATTGTTTCTCTGACACTAAATTTGGTTCAGACCTCATAGCATTTGTAAAATAAGTACAGTCTGGGTGATAGTGTTGCCATTCAGAGTACTTTGTCTGTCCTCCTTCTGAATTCTCTCTTTAAATCACAAATTTCAAAAGGATGAATTAAAGGAGGAGAATCAATAATATCTATAATTTTTCAGCTTCTTACAAATGCCAGTGGAGAAACTTACAAAAAAGACTCCCATTTTCTTTTACTGAAAGGCAAGTGGATTTTCCATTTTCACTTGTGAAATTTCTTGTGTGCCTAACCACATAGTACAATAGTAGAACTGTGAAAACAAAACTAAAAAAGAGGAAAAGTCCACATCATCAGCCTTTGTTATATAGATATACTGTCAGCATTTCTTTTTCAGTATTTTATTTAATGACAGAATTTCTTTTCACTGATGTTATATAATGTTTGAAATATGAAGACTGGCCAAGGTCACTCCTTGATTGTGGAAGGCACCATCCTATCTGCCAGATGATTTAATAGCTAATGAGATCATATTCCTATGTCTTCAACTGTTGCCGTCATGATTTTGCAAAAATGAAGTATGAAGTCCTTTCCGCATCTGGCATCTCTTTTGATGTTGATCTAACTGCTGAGGGACTGCTAACTGAACTGAATGTTTCAAGAAAGCCAATTTACTCAGCTGGTCGCAGAGCCTTTGACCTCAATAGTGGAACTTGGCAAATCAATGAATACACTTATGTTTAGTGTTCTGTCAAGAATTGTGAAAAAGCTCTGTAAACCATAGATCCTTCTGCAAAATACTAGTTTGTAGTTTAAACATTAGTCTTTCTTCAGAGGCCAATGAGGCTAGTTAATTAAGCCTGAGGGGTTATGAACTGTTGGCAGTTAATAAGTCATAAAATTCCTCCATAAAACAGGATGCTAGATTCCATCACTGAGGCAAGAAGTACAAAGAGCCGGTGTATAAATATCTAATTGTACAAAAGGACTGGGATTTCTCAATGACTGCTCATCTGGAGTCTCCAGGGCACGCTCGCTATGGTTTCCTGATTTTTAGAAGCCAGTTTAAAAAATGAGTGCATTAAAGAGTAATTTGCCTGAAAGTTCAGGAAGTATGGGGTGGTGAAGGGAGGGGGAAAGGGAAAGACAAAAGGAGGGCAAGGGAGAGGGAGAGAAACAGAGAGAGAGAGAGAGGGGGTAAAAGAAAGCAGAACTGAGCTCTCTACATTGAGTTGGACATTATTACATTTGTCATCTGTTTTCTTTCTCCTTTAGGATGTTCACCATGGCAACGGTACACAGCAGGCTTTTTATGCTGACCCCAGCATCCTGTATGTTTCCCTCCATCGCTATGATGAAGGCAACTTCTTCCCCGGCAGTGGAGCCCCAAATGAGGTTAGGTTTATTTCTTTAGAGCCCCATTTTTATTTGTATCTTTCAGGTAATTGCATTGCATGATTACCCCTAATTTTCTTGTCCTTCTCTGGTTCTTTAAATTACACCAGATTACCAAATTGTCCACTGGGAGCAGGGGACCAGTGGAGAACAAGTGCATAACCCAGAGCAGTCCTTGTCAAACAAGGCTGGGCTGATCTGACATGTTGTTTGATGTTTGTTTCTAAAGCACACTTGAGAATTTTTTCTTTTTTTTTTCTTTTCCTCTTTCTTTTCCTCCTCCCTTTTCCTCCTTCACTCCTTTTGGCATTTTATTCCTATTTTTCAGGTTGGAAGTGGCCCTGGTGAAGGGTATAACATAAATATTGCTTGGACAGGTGGCTTGGATCCTCCTATGGGCGATGTTGAGTATCTCACAGCATTCAGGTTGGTACCTTTTTCTTTTAAAGTTATGAAAACTGGTTGTAGAACATAAGCACATGAATAAGAGCTAATCTAATCTTGAAAGACAGGAGAATGACCCATGGTGAAACTAACTTAATCCTCTATCCCAGTATACGAAAGCTTAGTATATAATAAAAATGGATAATTTAATTGTTGTGATCATCCACTCAGAATCGACAAAAGAAAAAGTCTAATGATTTAATCTGTCACTCATTTTATCATTATATCATGCCAGTAAAATGATTTTGAGCTTGCTCACTTCTCTAGCTACAAAATTTAAATGTAAACATTTATACCATGCAGAAGAAAATTACTGTTCATGTTCATGTTGATTGCAGTTACATGCAAGTAGAGCAGATAGAAAGCAATATGAAGTATGGTCTGAATCCGGTGTTCCTCATTCACTTAAAAGTCTCATCCATCATGATGCTCACAGACTTGACCAGTCGGCTTTTTCTATGAATTGCAGTAAAGTGTTATTTACTTAAAAGTAAATAATTGTGAAATCTCTCAGTAAGAAAGATAGGAAATGTTGCATTCTATATTCCTCTTTGATTTCAATAGCTCATTGTAAATGAAATTTTATTCTTTCATAGGTGATGCATCATAAACTTTAATCTTATTTTCATGGGACCAGAGGAGATAAAAACTGTTTAAAACACACTCTTTTAGACTTTCAGTAGTCCTGTCTTACATGCACCATTTCCTTTCATTGTAAAGCAGTCCAGTGGAAGGGTTTGGTGGGCACTCACCTGAAGACTGGGCAAATGCTGTGTGTTTGAAGAGGTTTCATTTAGTGAAAACTGATATGCAAGAGAGGCAATGAGACAACTAACGTCTATATCTCCAATCACTTTCAAGAATTTTAGTTTGAAGTAGTGCATTTACCTTATACAGCTTTTGACTATATTCTATTGAAAATACATGACAAAAAGTATAAAACTGATTTTTTTTTTTTTCTGAAGCACTCCTGTGGAGTCCATGAAATAATATGCAGAGGATCTGATAAATAACACACCTGAATTCAGAGTCTAAGCCCTAGACACAGAAATGGCCTTACACATTCACAATATCACATTATTATTATTGTGGAAAAGGTTTTAATATTTTACAACATCTGCCTGTATTTAAAAAGAGTCTAAACAAATAGTCAGTGGCAGGCTCCAAATTTTCTACACCTCAGTATTGCCTCAAGCTCTTTCCAAGGTCTGTCATATTCTTTGGTGAGATTTTACAGAAGTTAGGGGACTGGATGGTTCAAATCACTGCTGTTAGTGTCTGATATTAATATATCTGGTATGATCACCCGAAAATTCTTGGTTTGAATCCAGCCTGTCCCAATAATGATATAGGTAATATGGTCATCTAAGGCTGCGGAGAATGGTGGTCCCAGCATATTGAACAAAAGACTCGCATAACTGAGACTGCAACCATAATTGGTACTCCTGCTATCCTGACAACAAATACCTATGTTTAATAACACCTTTTCAAATATGAACTTTGCAGTTCTAGTTTAAGGTACACTAGTAAATAGTTTGGAG